CCAGTAAACAAGCACGGCACCAGTAATATAAGGAGAAATATTACGTGCCCTTGTTAATATACTCTGAAGATGGACCTAGTTTGGTCTGAAACGTAAGATGTCTCTAATTAAAGAACATTTTATGCGTGGTCATATATATACAGTATAGTAAGAACATATATATATATGATATTGGTTTATGTGGTATTGATTCTAGCAGTCATAATGATGATGTGAAAATTTTGTTTAAGTGTAAAGTGAAAGATTCAGTGAGTAGTTTTCGTTCGCTGTAATCCTTAAGTGAGAGATTGCTGTTTAGCACATCAACGAAGAGTGGATAAGCGATAAAACGCGTTTTTCCTACGACGGATTGAAAAGACAGAGACTCCTGGCGCCGATGGTGCGAGACAAGTCCGGAAACCTTGTTTACACTGACTGGGAACCAACTTTGTTCTACGCCGCCCAGAAGGTTCGATTACTTCTCTTTTTATTCGGTTCGTGCTGTGAACGGTGTATTTTACTATGGAGTGTGAAAATCACATTTTTGAGAGAACTTCGTTTAAACTTTGTTTTAGGTCTTCTCATTTTCATAATAGTTACCGGTGTTAACTGTCGGGGTGTGGTCACTGACTGAGTTCTATCAACTACCATATCGCTTACCCTCTGAGAAATTTACTGTGCAGTTTTTGGGATTGTCTTACGTTGTGAGTTGTAACTTTATGATGAGTGGAGGATAGTAATTTCCAAGTAAGGTCGAATGCCGCCGACAGTGTCCGCAAGTTGCGGATAGTGGGGCAGTCTTTAAATATGAGCACTGACTGCGAAATAAACAGAGAATTCAACGAATAAGCAGTCGCGGGCAACGTGACGACAGTGCTGTGAGGGTCGGCAAGTCAGTTTCTGACAAAGTTGGCTATAGAAAATACCGTAAGGGCGTATGACGGCGCGGTGACATGATGAGTAGATACCGACCTCAAATATTCATACGGTTCCTCTTGCCTTTCACAAAGCCGAGTTTACGTCAGGCAGGCAGCCGACCGTAAAAACAATGCCAATGCCAAATATCATGATTCAGTTTACCTCTAGAAAGAATTCTAGGGCGTTCCCCACAGGCGACGCGAAGGTGCAACTCCCGGCAGCTGTGAGAAATGAGCAAGGATAGCAGTTCTTACGACAGTGGCAATTTCAAAGAGAGATTGACATGCCGAAAACGAGGTGAGAAGATGTGAATTGCCACTTGCAACGTTGGAACAAGGATGAGAAAGAGTATGGAGTT